AGTTCCAGGTTTTATCCAGCAGCCCAACAAAGCCTGGTTTTAGTTTAGAAAACATGCAAATAGAAATGGATGAACGGGTCCCCACCTTTGGAATGGGGGTCGTTTAGCTTCTTTGTTAGCCTGCAATGCCCCATACCTGACTATATCTCTGAAAGGGGGGGCGTTAGAGGGAATAGTTGGCCTGGCTTAATAGTCGGGCTCCTCTGCTCTCCTGTACAGGGGCTGAGATGATGTTTTTCTTTGTCCATGACTAAATGGATATTTGTCCGTTTACGTAGTTTGAAGTTTATTTTTCATACAAAACTGAAGGTATAAAAGTAAATCGGACGTCTTACGCATTCATATTGACTGGGAATGCTGGTCTGACGGGGTATGTTCATCTGACAGAACACCTCCACCAGTGTTAGCTGTGGTCTCACTGGATCACTTTACAGAGACCTCTAAGAGGTCAAAGGTCAGTGTTTTATGCAACAGGTCAACAGCAACTAATGATGTTTTTCGCAACTCGATCCGTCCCGGAAGCGCGATCCGTTCTGCGCACGCGTCAACAGATATACATCAGTGTCCATAAATAAGTTAAATATGGTACTAAAATGACTTATCTATATCCTTAAAACGCTAAAGAATGTTAATACACATCTTTTAAAAAAATGTTTTATGACTTTTCTGATGCAATTTTGATGCTTTTTACATTTTCCCCATTAAACTGCTTCTCTGACGTCATAATGGGACACGATCAGAGCAGTCTGGCTAAATATGATTAAACCAGCTTTATCTGCATTTTAGTTGTTTCTTTCTTTATATTATGCAATATATAGCATAATGTTAACACCAAAATAAAACATAAAACTCAAAAAGACTAGATTTATGTTTGAATCCAAAGCTGATAGAGTTAGCTCCCGGAAGTAGCGTAGCATCCCATTTCCTACAGATCAGGCAGAGAGCGATAAAACAGGAAGGATTTAAATGCTTTTAATTAACCTTTAACACATTATAATTTAGTATCCTTACTGTTTTTGGGCAGAGAAAATGTCATTTTGGTCTTTCTAACAAAATAAAAACTGAGGGTGACCCGGATGTATATCTATAAATGAGCTGATGGCGCATGTGCAGGAAAATGACCATATTTGGTAAAATGAGCTTCCAATTCCAGTCGTCTCTGTCTGCATCCATGTCAGGGATGGTTTCAGTTTTTCATTTAATATTTAAAGGAGGTTTGAAGTGGTTTAAAACCTGCTAAAGCTGCAATAAAAGGTCACTGAATTCATTTGGAGGATTAAGTTATAATTTACAGGTAAACCAGGTTTCTGTGAGTAAAATAAACCTCAAGCCAAAGAGCAGAGTCTGTAGAGAGGGTTTGAAAAAGTATGTTTGATGCACTGCTTATTATCAGGACAGACACAAACAGAAAGTACAGGTAACACTGATTCTAACTCCTGTCATTTTCCACGGAAGAAAAACTGCCCAAACACGTTCAACATTATCGGAAGAAATTCCAGGGCTTCCAATAAACATCGGCTCCTTTTGTACTTTTGGTTATTTGTTTATCAAATCGAGCTGAACTTCACTGCTTGTGTGTCTAAATTTGGATCCATTTAAATTAATTTAAGAAAAAATGTTGACCCATCAAAACCCAGCGGGATTTGATTCAATTCCTTTTAAAGGAGAAAGTACTGCAGGTAGAAGGTGCATAGTGCTGCAAGTACATACCTGTGGTGCAAACTCTAAAAGTTAGCCTAATGCATGAACATTTAAAGGAAAAGTTGCTCATATTCAGAATTCAAACTTTTTAAAAGTTCTTTAAACCTGAAATGATTCCATCCTGTTCAATAAAT